TACAATTTTGAAATGGCGTAAATAATTGAAAAAGTCATTGTCATACATTTTGGATTTTATACCATTCACATTCCAGAAAAGAAAGTTAAAAGTTCCATCACAACACTGATATTCAGAATAATCAGACGGGATTCTAGTTTGAATCCTTTCGCGTTTCTGCAGGGAGTTTGCAGGTGTACATCCTTTTCCAAACCAAACACGGTGATAGTGTCCACAGATTGATTGAAAAGTGAATCTGCATGTTATTCTGTAAGAGTACATGACATTTGTCACACATCGAACACAATCTAAAGGCGTGATTCCTTTGTGAATCCTCTCGTGTGCGTGTAGATGAACTGATTCCGTATTTTTGCCCCACATTCAAGCAGGAATGTGATTCAGCAGGCTACTTGATTTTGTAAATTTCCTCAAACTTTCAATACATTGATAAGGTCTGATTCCTGTGTGAATGTTTTCTCACACACAATGCACTCATGGGGCTTGATTCCACTGTGAATCCTCATGTGTTTCTGAAGATTACCTGATTGTGTAAATGTTTTCTCACACACAATGCACTGATGAGGTTTGATTCCACTGTGAATCGTCACGTGTATGTCTTTGTAAATTTGTTCCCATGTTCAACTCATCCATAAGGCTTAATTCCACTGTGAATTCTCATGTGTTCTTCAAGGTCACTTGAACGTGTAAACTTTCTCCCACATTCAACACATTCATGAGGCTTCATTCCACTGTGAATCTTCATGTGATTCTGCAGGTTACTCGATCGTGTAAATTTTTTCAAGCATTCAATACATTCATGGAGCTTCATTCCACTGTGAATCCTCATGTGTACCTTCAGATCGCCTAAACGTGTAAATTTTTTCAAGCATTCGATACATTCATGAGGCTTCATTCCACTGTGAATCCTCATGTGTGTCTGCAGTTGACTTGATTCTGTAAAATTTTTCAAGCATTTGATACATTCATAAGGCTTGATTCCACTGTGAATCCTCATGTGTCTCTGCAGGTTATCTGATCGTGCAAATTTTTTCAAGCATACATTACATTCATAGGGCTCGATTCCTGTGTGAATCGTCATGTGTGTCTTCAGATCACCTGAACATGTAAATGTTTTCAAGCATTCGATACATTCATAAAGTTTGATTCTACTGTGAATCCTCATGTGTCTCTGCAGGTTATCTGATCGTGCAAATTTTTTCAAGCATACATTACATTCATAGGGCTTGATTCCTGTGTGAATCTTCATGTGCGTCTTCAGTTCACCTGAACATGTAAATGTTTTCTCACAAACAATGCAGCGATGAGGCTTGATTCCACTGTGAATCCTCATGTGTGTCTGCAGATTACTTGAATTTGTAAATTTTTTCCCACATTCAACACATTCATAAGGCTTAATTCCTGTGTGAATCCTCATGTGTCTCCGTAGGTGACCTGATTGTGTAAATGTTTTCTCACACACAATGCAGCGATGAGGCTTGATTCCACTGTGAACCCTCATGTGATCCTGCAGGTCACTTGATCGTGTAAATGTTTTCTCACACACAATGCAGCAATGAGTCTTGATTCCACTGTGAATCCTCATGTGATTCTGCAGGTGACCTGATTGTGTAAATGGTATTTCAAACATATTGCACTGATGAGGCTTGATTCCACTGTAAATCCTCCTGTGATTATACAGTGTCCCTGATTGTGGGTTTTTCTCCACATTCAACCAGAGACCATATAATAGATTTTCTCTGATTCAACACATGAGTATGGGTGGATTCCACAGTGTCACGGTGTCAGCAGATTATCTGATTGTGAAAATATTTCTCCTCATATTTCCCAAGATTAGCTGACCTGTGATTCCACTGTGAATCTTCATGTGATTCTGCAGGTTACCTGATTGTGGAAATGTTTTCTCACACACAATGCACTGGTGAGATTTGATTCCACTGTGACTCCTCATGTGGTTCCTGAGTATCTGATAGTGTAATTTCTTCCCACATTCAACACATTGGTAAGGGTTGGTTCCACAGTGAATACTGATGTGTGTTTGCAGAGTATCTGATTGTGAAAATGGTTTTCCACATGTTTGCCAGGATTAGCTGATAGTGTTAATGTTTTCCTACATTCAACATGCCGATATTGAGACGGTTTGTAAATAATCGAGTCTGGACCAGACAATCCAGTGATCAACAGCATGAGCATCGATCTGTGCAATTATGCTGATAAGGCTCCGCCATGATAGAGAATTTTATATGTGCCTGCAGATTATCTGATTGTGAAAATGTTTTTACACGTTTCCAAACAGTAGCTGATAGTGTGAATGTTTTCCGATATTCAACATGTTGATAAGGCTCCGCTTTGATAGAGATTATTTTTTTTCAAGTCATCTGATTTAGAAAATGTTTTCATGCACTCACTACACTTTTGACACTGCCTTGTTGGACCACAATTGTTTCACATATTTCCAGGGTTCCAATTACTAGATCATTTATGAGATCACCAGTTTCCAGGGTTCCAATAGCGGGTTCTTCCTTGAGATCACCTGTTTCCAAGGTGTCAATAAAATATCTTTTTTAATATATCCTGTTTCCAGCAAACACTTTAACAGATTTCATTGGTTTCAGTGACAGAAAGGATTCTGTGGATTGCTTTCAACTTCCATCATTAACCTGTGGATGTTATGGTGTTTACTGAAAACATAAGAAAGGTTGTCACACTCCTATAGCATCTAGGGTAGAGCCCATACACAATATAATGGCTTGACATTTTAGCATGATAACAAACATGATACCACAAAAATGTTTTCCCCTACACAACACACTATATTCTACTTAGCGGGGTGATTTTATTAGCCTCTTGCAGTAAGTGCCGAAAAAGTCAGAACTCTCCATCAAGTGAAAGCAGAAAACCACTGCGCTCCACAGCGGAGGGCACTTCCGGAGCGTTGGGCACGCCACTTTACTGAGGCTGGCAATTTGGCAGTATCTCTGGGAAGGCGTATTGTTGTGTTGTTGGCTGTCACAGTTACAGTGGAAAAGTAGTTAATGGCAGGTCTGTAAGTTTACATCGTTTCCCATCCGGTAAATCATCAAAACATCGGAAGCTAAGAAGTAATTGGTTGTAAAGAATCAGTCAGAAGAACTTCAGCATAAAGGTCATGGCTGCAGGTGTATTTTCCCCAGGGAGGGAATGGGCCCACCCGTGAAGTAAACCTGCCATCTATATTTGCACACAAAGTCTTCAAAACTACCAAGGTAAGTTTAAAGTTACCTTTATGAAAGCTGTTCACTATTTCAATGAAAATTCTATCAATACAGAAAATGTCATTAGATACCAAACATAAATATTCAAAGTGATCATGCTGATTATTATATCGATTTGACTATCAGTTAAGCTAACACACCACATGACAAACCATTCAATGTCCTTCCTAAAATACGAAGTTGAATTTTAGTTTTTAATAGCCGTAAAAGAAATATTTTTAAAATTTTAATATTCAATAGATCCAAATATGTGGTAAGTGAGGTGATGGGTTGAGTTATTTTTATTAAGATTTGGACTGGCCTAAATAGTTTTTTAAAACATCAAAATTGATAATTTTCTTTTTAAGTGCATGATGTGTCACATATATGAAATTTTAACATTGATTATATACCGATTTGATTTCCAGCTGCAGGACACAGACATTTTGACCTGAGAGAACATCAGGGAGGACAGCAAGAGGAACACGGCCCAGCACTGCATACAGATGCTGCTGGTCTCAGCTCTCCTGCCTCGTTATCACGCCTTGATTTATCGGTACTGATGCATGACTATGGAGGGTGGGTTGAACCCAGCACCCCGACTAACTTCAAACATCAGGAGGTAGGACTTTCACCATGTGTAAGAGATGCCAGCGCACAAACCGACATCCCATGCAGCAGTTTTGTATCCCATGTATCCACAGGCACACAGACAGAGGAAAGTGCATTCGCCTTTACAACTACAGATGACAGCGACAGGCCTTGGCTCACTGTAGATGATTTGACAGATGAAGAAATGATGTTTTACACTGGTCTACCGGATAAAAGTGCAGACAACTTACTTTTGGATGAACTGATAGATGATGGTTCAACTAGTAATCCTGGCAGACCACACAAACTCAGCATAAAAGATGAATTTTGCATGGTATTTATCAGACTTCGCTTAGGGCTTCTTGTTTTAGACTTAGCAAAGTGGTTTAAAGTTTCTGCTTCAACAGTTAGCAACATTTTCAATTCATGGATTGAGAAGATGTACCATGGCCTGAACTTCCTTATCTACTGGCCTTGACAAGACACTGTGCAACAGAACTTGCCGAGATCATTATAGTCAAGATGTCCCACAACACATGTTATCATAGATTGTACTGAACTGTATACTGAACCCCCCAAGTCTCTTATCAACTGTATCTGATTACAAGAGTCACATGATTTGGAAGGTTTTCATTAGAATTTGTCCATCTGAAGTTATAACTTATGTCAGCAATCTCTGGGATGGTAATATTTCTGACAAGCAAATTACAGAGAAAAGTGGACTTTTAGATGGAGTTGGCAAAAAGAACTTTAAATTTACTGCCAGAGAGGTAGAGGGCACAGGAAGAATTGCAAATTTAAGAATACATGTTGAAAGGGTCATGAAGCAAATCAAGAACTTTAGAATCTTACAAGGTGTTATTCCTCTCAGTGAGAGCGAACAAGTTTCAAAGATTTTCTTTGTTTGTGCTGCACTGTGTAACCTTCAGCCACCACTTGTGAAACACTAAAGCTATGTCCATAGTGTCCACTTATTATGCATTAAATCTGTTTTATGTTGCCATATGATAGGTTTCAGAATTTGTGAACATTTAATTCAGCTTGTACATATCAAATTATATCTATATCAGTTTGGAAATATCGACTTAATGAATTTGATACATATAAAATTGTCAAATTCAGATTTGCTGAGATATTGATGAACACATACGCAGACACCACCAGAGAGTCGTCCGAACAATTTTACTGCTGCGCTATAAAAGATATCATAGTCATGTTACCAATCAACATCGGAAATATTGCCAACAAATGTTTCTACAAGACATACAATTTTGAAATGGCGTAAATAATTGAAAAAGTCATTGTCATACATTTTGGATTTTATACCATTCACATTCCAGAAAAGAAAGTTAAAAGTTCCATCACAATACTGATATTCAGAATAATCAGACGGGATTCTAGTTTGAATCCTTTCGCATTTCTGCAGGGAGTTTGCAGGTGTACATCCTTTTCTAAACCAAACACGGTGATAGTGTCCACAGATTGATTGAAAAGTGAATCTGCATGTTATTCTGTAGAGTACATGACATTTGTCACACATCCAACACAATCTAAAGGCCTTTGTGAATCCTCTCGTGTGCGTGTAGATGAACTGATTCCGTATTTTTCCCCCACATTCAAGCAGGAATGTGATTCAGCAGGCTACTTGATTTTGTAAATTTCCTCAAACTTTCAATACATTGATAAGGTCTGATTCCTGTGTGAATGTTTTCTCACACACAATCCACTCATGGGGCTTGATTCCACTGTGAATCCTCATGTGTTTCTGAAGATTACCTGATTGTGTAAATGTTTTCTCACACACAATGCACTGATGAGGCTTGATTCCACTGTGAATCGTCACGTGTATGTCTTTGTAAATTTGTTCCCATGTTCAACTCATCCATAAGGCTTAATTCCACTGTGAATTCTCATGTGTTCTTCAAGGTCACTTGAACGTGTAAACTTTCTCCCACATTCAACACATTCATGAGGCTTCATTCCACTGTGAATCTTCATGTGTTTCTGCAGGTTACTCGATCGTGTAAATTTTTTCAAGCATTCAATACATTCATAGAGCTTGATTCCACTGTGAATCCTCATGTGTACCTTCAGATCGCCTGAACGTGTAAATTTTTTCAAGCATTCGATACATTCATAAGGCTTGATTCCTGTGTGAATCCTCATGTGTGTCTGCAGTTGACTTGATTCTGTAAATTTTTTCAAGCATTTGATACATTCATAAGGCTTGATTCCACTGTGAATCCTCATGTGTCTCTGCAGGTTATCTGATCGTGCAAATTTTTTCAAGCATACATTACATTCATAGGGCTTGATTCCTGTGTGAATCTTCATGTGTGTCTTCAGATCACCTGAACGTGTAAATTTTTTCAAGCATTCGATACATTCATGAGACTTGATTCTTGTGTGGATCCTCATGTGTGTCTGCAGTTGACTTGATTCTGTAAAAATTTTCAAGCATTCGATACATTCATAAAGTTTGATTCTACTGTGAATCCTCATGTGTGCCTGCAGATATTTAGAGTGTGTAAATGTTTTCCCACATTCAGCACATTCATAAGGCTTAATTCCTGTGTGAATACTCATGTGTATCTGCAGGCTACCTGATCGTGTAAATGTTTTCTCACAAACAATGCAGCGATGAGGCTTGATTCCACTGTGAATCCTCATGTGTGTCTGCAGATTACTTGAATTTGTAAATTTTTTCCCACATTCAACACATTCATAAGGCTTAATTCCTGTGTGAATCCTCATGTGTCTCTGTAGGTGACCTGATTGTGTAAATGTTTTCTCACACACAATGCAGCGATGAGGCTTGATTCCACTGTGAACCCTCATGTGATTCTGCAGGTCACTTGATTTTGTAAATGTTTTCTCACACACAATGCAGCAATGAGTCTTGATTCCACTGTGAATCCTCATGTGATTCTGCAGGTGATCTGATTGTGTAGATGGTATTTCAAACATATTGCACTGATGAGGCTTGATTCCACTGTAAATCCTCATGTGATTATACAGAGTCCCTGATTGTGAGTTTTTCTACACATTCAACACATGAGTATGGGTGGATTCCACAGTGTCACAGTGTCAGCAGATTATCTGATTGTGAAAATATTTCTCCTCATATTTCCCAAGATTAGCTGACCTGTGATTCCACTGGGAATCTTCATGTGATTCTGCAGGCTACCTGATTGTGGAAATGTTTTCTCACACACAATGCACTGGTGAGATTTGATTCCACTGTGACTCCTCATGTGGTTCCTGAGTATCTGATAGTGTAATTTCTTCCCACATTCAACACATTGGTAAGGGTTGGTTCCACAGTGAATACTGATGTGTGTTTGCAGAGTATCTGATTGTGAAAATGGTTTTCCACATGTTTGCCAGGATTAGCTGATAGTGTGAATGTTCTCTTACATTCAACATGCTGATATTTAGGCGGTCTGTAAATAATCGAGTCTGGACCAGACAATCCAGTGATCAACAGCATGAGCATCGATCTGTGCAATTATTCTGATATGGCTCCGCCATGATAGAGAATTTTATATGTGCCTGCAGATTATCTGATTGTGAAAATGTTTTTACACGTTTCCAAACAGTAGCTGATAGTGTGAATGTTTTCCAATATTCAACATGTTGATAAGGCTCCGCTTTGATAGAGATTATTTTTTTCCAAGTCATCTGATTTAGAAAATGTTTTCATGCACTCACTACATATATGAAACTGCCTTGTTGGACCACAATTGCTTCCAATAACTAGATCATTTACGAGATCACCAGTTTCCAGGGTTCCAATAGCGGGTTCTTCCTTGAGATCACCTGTTTCCAAGGTGTCAATAAAATATCTTTTTTAATATATCCTGTTTCCAGCAAACACTTTAACAGATTTCATTGGCTTCAGCGACAGAAAGGATTCTGTGGATTGCTTTCAACTTCCATCATTAACCTGTGGATGTTATGGTGTTTACTGAAAACATAAGAAAGGTTGTCACACTCCTATAGCATCTAGGGTAGAGCCCATACACAATATAATGGCTTGACATTTTAGTAGTATAACAAACATGATACCATAAAAATGTTTTCCCTACACAACACACTATATTCTACTTAGCGGGGTGATTTTATTAGCCTCTTGCAGTAAGTGCCGAAAAAGTCAGAACTCTCCATCAAGTGAAAGCAGAAAACCACTGCGCTCCACAGCGGAGGGCACTTCCGGAGCGTTGGGCGCACCACTTTACTGAGGCTGGCAATTTGGCAGTATGTCTGGGAAGGCGTATTGTTGTGTTGTTGGCTGTCACAGTTACAGTGGAAAAGTAGTTAATGGCAGGACTGTAAGTTTACAATGTTTCCCATCCGGTAAATCATCAAAACATCGGAAGCTAAGAAGTAATTGGTTGTAAAGAATCAGTCAGAAGAACTTCAGCATAAAGTCATGGACGCAGGTGTATTTTCCCCAGGGGAGGGAATGGGCCCACCCGTGAAGTAAACCTGCCATCTATATTTGCACACAAAGTCTTCAAAACTACCAAGGTAGGTTTAAAGTTACGTTTATTAAAGCTGTTCACTATTTCAATGAAAATTCTATCAATACAGAAAAAGTCATTAGATACCAAACATAAATATTCAAAGTGATCATGCTGATTATTATATCGATTTGACTATCAGTTAAAGCTAACACACCACACGACAAACCATTCAATGTCCTTCCTAAAATACGAAGTTGAATTTTAGTTTTTAATAGCCGTAAAAAAAATGTTTTTAAATTCAATAATCAATAGATCCAAATATGTGGTAAGTGAGGTGATGGGTTGAGTTATTTTTATTAAGATTTGGACTGGCCTAAATAGTTTTTAAAACATCAAATTGATCATTTTCTTTTTATGTGCATGATGTGTCACATATATGAAATTTTAACATTGATTATATACCGATTTGATTTCCAGCTGCAGGACACAGACATTTGGACCTGAGAGAACATCAGGGAGGACAGCAAGAGGAACATGGCCCAACACTGCATACAGATGCTGCTGGTCTCAGCTCTCCTGCCTCGTTATCACGCCTTGATTTATCGGTACTGATGCATGACTATGGAGGGTGGGTTGAACCCAGCACCCCCGACTAACTTCAAACATCAGGAGGTAGGAGTTTCACCATGTGTAAGAGATGCCAGCGCACAAACCGACATCCCATGCAGCAGTTTTGTATCCCATGTATCCACAGGCACACAGACAGAGGAAAGTGCATTCGCCTTTACAACTACAGATGACAGCGACAGGCCTTGGCTCACTGTAGATGATTTGACAGATGAAGAAATGATGTTTTACACTGGTCTACCGGATAAAAGTGCATACAACTTACTTTTGGATGAACTGATAGATGATGGTTCAACTAGTAATCTTGGCAGACCACACAAACTCAGCTTAAAAGATGAATTTTGCATGGTATTTATCAGACTTCGCTTAGGGCTTCTTGTTTTAGACTTAGCAAAGCGGTTTAAAGTTTCTGCTTCAACAGTTAGCACCATTGTCAATTCATGGATTGAGAAGATGTACCATGGCCTGAACTTCCTTATCTACTGGCCTTGACAAGACACTGTGCAACAGAACTTGCCGAGATCATTATAGTCAAGATGCCCCACAACACATGTTATCATAGATTGTACTGAACTCAATACTGAACCCCCCAAGTCTCTTATCAACAAAACTCTCATGTATTCTGATTACAAGAGTCACATGACATGGAAGGTTTTCATTAGAATTAGTCCATCTGAAGTTATAACTTATGTCAGCAATCTCTGGGATGGTAATATTTCTGACAAGCAAATTACAGAGAAGTGGAAAAGATGGAGTTGGCAAAAAGAACTTTAAATTTACTGCCAGAGAGGTAGAGGGCACAAGAAGAATTGCAAATTTAAGAATACATGTTGAAAGGGTCATGAAGCAAATCAAGAACTTTAGAATCTTACAAGGTGTTATTCCTCTCAGTGAGAGCGAACAAGTTTCAAAGATTTTCTTTGTTTGTGCTGCACTGTGTAACCTTCAGCCACCACTTGTGAAACACTAAAGCTATGTCCATAGTGTCCACCTATTATGCATTAAATCTGTTTTATGTTGCCATATGATAGGTTTCAGAATTTGTGAACATTTAATTCAGCTTGTACATATCAAATTATATCTATATCAGTTTGGAAATATCAACTTAATGAATTTGATACATATAAAATTGTCAAATTCAGATTTGCTGAGATATTGATGAACACATACGCAGACACCACCAGAGAGTCGTCCAAACTCGGACAATTTTACTGCTGCGCTATAAAAGATATCATAGTCATGTTACCAATCAACATCGGAAATATTGTCAACAAATGTTTCTACAAGACATACAATTTTGAAATGGCGTAAATAATTGAAAAAGTCATTGTCATACATTTTGGATTTTATACCATTCACAATCCAGAAAAGAAAGTTAAAAGTTCCATCACAACACTAATATTCAGAATAATCAGACGGGATTCTAGTTTGAATCCTTTCGCGTTTCTTCAGGGAGTTTGCAGGTGTACATCCTTTTCTAAACCAAACACAGTGATAGTGTCCACAGATTGATTGAAAAGTGAATCTGCATGTTATTCTGTAGAGTACATGACATTTGTCACACATCCAACACAATCTAAAGGCGTGATTCCTTTGTGAATCCTCCTGTGAGCGTGTAGATGAACTGATTCCGTATTTTCCCCCTACATTCAAGCAGGAATGTGATTCAGCAGGCTACTTGATTTTGTAAATTTCCTCAAACTTTCAATACATTGATAAGGTCAGATTCCTGTGTGGATGTTTTCTCACAAACAATGCACTCATGGGGCTTGATTCCACTGTGAATCCTCATGTGTTTCTGCACGCAATCTAATTGTGTAAATGTTTTCTCACACACAATCCACTGATGAGGCTTGATTCCACTGTGAATACTCATGTGTTTCTGAAGATTACCTGATTGTGTAAATGTTTTCTCACACAATGCACTGATGAGGCTTGATTCCACTGTGAATCGTCACGTGTATGTCTTTGTAAATTTGTTCCCATGTTCAACTCATCCATAAGGCTTAATTCCACTGTGAATTCTCATGTGTTCTTCAAGGTCACTTGAACGTGTAAACTTTCTCCCACATTCAACACATTCATGAGGCTTCATTCCACTGTGAATCTTCATGTGTTTCTGCAGGTTACTCGATCGAGTAAATTTTTTCAAGCATTCAATACATTCATAGAGCTTGATTCCACTGTGAATCCTCATGTGTACCTTCAGATTGCCTAAACGTGTAAATTTTTTCAAGCATTTGATACATTCATGAGGTTTCATTCCACTGTGAATCCTCATGTGTGTCTGCAGTTGACTTGATTCTGTAAAATTTTTCAAGCATTTGATACATTCATAAGGCTTGATTCCACTGTGAATCCTCATGTGTCTCTGCAGGTTATCTGATCGTGTAATTTTTTTCAAGCATACATTACATTCATAGGGCTTGATTCCTGTGTGAATACTCATGTGTGTCTTCAGATCACCTGAACATGTAAATGTTTTCAAGCATTCGATACATTCATAAAGTTTGATTCTACTGTGAATCCTCATGTGTCTCTGCAGGTTATCTGATCGTGCAAATTTTTTCAAGCATAGATTACATTCATAGGGCTTGATTCCTGTGTGAATCTTCATGTGCGTCTTCAGACTACCTGAACATGTAAATGTTTTCTCACAAACAATGCAGCGATGAGGCTTGATTCCACTGTGAAACCTCATGTGTGTCTGCAGATTACTTGAAATTGTAAATTTTTTCCCACATTCAACACATTCATAAGGCTTAATTCCTGTGTGAATCCTCATGTGTCTCCGTAGGTGACCTGATTGTGTAAATGTTTTCTCACACACAATGCAGCGATGAGGCTTGATTCCACTGTGAACCCTCATGTGTTCCTGCAGGTCACTTGATTTTGTAAATGTTTTCTCACACACAATGCAGCGATGAGGCTTGATTCCACTGTGAGTCCTCATGTGATTCTGCAGGTGACCTGATTGTGTAAATGGTATTTCAAACATATTGCACTGATGAGGCTTGATTCCACTGTAAAGACTCATGTGATTATACAGAGTCCCTGATTGTGAGTTTTTCTACACATTCAACACATGAGTATGGATTGATTCCACAGTGTCACAGTGTCAGCAGATTATCTGATTGTGAAAATATTTCTCCTCATATTTCCCAAGATTAGCTGACCTGTGATTCCACTGGGAATCTTCATGTGATTCTGCAGGCTACCTGATTGTGGAAATGTTTTCTCACACACAATGCACTGGTGAGATTTGATTCCACTGTGACTCCTCATGTGGTTCCTGAGTATCTGATAGTGTAATTTCTTCCCACATTCAACACATTGGTAAGGGTTGGTTCCACAGTGAATACTGATGTGTGTTTGCAGAGTATCTGATTGTGAAAATGGTTTTCCACATGTTTCCCAGGATTAGCTGATAGTGTGAATGTTTTCCTACATTCAACATGCCGATATTGAGACTGTCTGTAAATAATCGAGTCTGGACCAGACAATCCAGTGATCAACAGCATGAGCATCGATCTGTGCAATTATTCTGATATGGCTCCGCCATGATAGAGAATTTTATATGTGCCTGCAGATTATCTGATTGTGAAAATGTTTTTACACGTTTCCAAACAGTAGCTGATAGTGTGAATGTTTTCCAATATTCAACATGTTGATAAGGCTCCGCTTTGATAGAGATTATTTTTTTCCAAGTCATCTGATTTAGAAAATGTTTTCATGCACTCACTACACATATGAAACTGCCTTGTTGGACCACAATTGCTTCACATATTTCCAGGGTTCCAATAACTAGATCATTTATGAGATCACCTGTTTCCAAGGTGTCAATAAAATATCTTTTTTAATATATCCTGTTTCCAGCAAACACTTTAACAGATTTCATTGGCTTCAGCGACAGGAAGGATTCTGTGGATTGCTTTCAACTTCCATCATTAACCTGTGGATGTTATGGTGTTTACTGAAAACATAAGAAAGGTTGTCACACTCCTATAGCATCTAGGGTAGAGCCCATACACAATATAATGGCTTGACATTTTAGTAGTATAACAAACATGATACCATAAAAATGTTTTCCCCTACACAACACACTATATTCTACTTAGCGGGGTGATTTTATTAGCCTCTTGCAGTAAGTGCCGAAAAAGTCAGAACTCTCCATCAAGTGAAAGCAGAAAACCACTGCGCTCCACAGCGGAGGGCACTTCCGGAGCGTTGGGCGCACCACTTTACTGAGGCTGGCAATTTGGCAGTATGTCTGGGAAGGCGTATTGTTGTGTTGTTGGCTGTCATAGTTACAGTGGAAAAGTAGTTAATGGCAGGACTGTAAGTTTACATCGTTTCCCATCCGGTAAATCATCAAAACATCGAAAGCTAAGAAGTAATTGGTTGTCAAGAATCAGTCAGAAGAACTTCAACATAAAGGTCATGGCCGCAGGTGTATTTTCCCCAGGGAGGGAATGGGCCCATCCGTGAAGTAAACCTGCCATCTGTATTTGCACACAAAGTCTTCAAAACTACCAAGGTAAGTTTAAAGTTACGTTTATGAAAGCTGTTCACTATTGCAATGAAAATTCTATCAATACAGAAAAAGTCATTAGATACCAAACATAAATATTCAAAGTGATCATGCTGATTATTATATCGATTTGACTATCAGTTAAAGCTAACACACCACATGACAAACCATTCAATGTCCTTCCTAAAATACGAAGTTGAATTTTAGTTTTTAATAGCCGTAAAAAAAATGTTTTTAAATTCAATAATCAATAGATCCAAATATGTGGTAAGTGAGGTGATGGGTTGAGTTATTTTTATTAAGATTTGGACTGGCCTAAATAGTTTTTAAAACATCAAATTGATAATTTTCTTTTTATGTGCATGATGTGTCACATATATGAAATTTTAACATTGATTATATACCGATTTGATTTCCAGCTGCAGGACACAGACATTTGGACCTGAGAGAACATCAGGGAGGACAGCAAGAGGAACATGGCCCAACACTGCATACAGATGCTGCTGGTCTCAGCTCTCCTGCCTCGTTATCACGCCTTGAGTTATCGGTACTGATGCATGACTATGGAGGGTGGGTTGAACCCAGCACCCCGACTAACTTCAAACATCAGGAGGTAGGAGTTTCACCATGTGTAAGAGATGCCAGCGCACAAACCGACATCCCATGCAGCAGTTTTGTATCCCATGTATCCACAGGCACACAGACAGAGGAAAGTGCATTCGCCTTTACAACTACAGATGACAGCGACAGGCCTTGGCTCACTGTAGATGATTTGACAGACGAAGAAATGATGTTTTACACTGGTCTACCGGATAAAAGTGCAGACAACTTACTTTTGGATGAACTGATAGATGATGGTTCAACTAGTAATCTTGGCAGACCACACAAACTCAGCTTAAAAGATGAATTTTGCATGGTATTTATCAGACTTCGCTTAGGGCTTCTTGTTTTAGACTTAGCAAAGTGGTTTAAAGTTTCTGCTTCAACAGTTAGCACCATTGTCAATTCATGGATTGAGAAGATGTACCATGGCCTGAACTTCCTTATCTACTGGCCTTGACAAGACACTGTGCAACAGAACTTGCCAAGATCATTATAGTCAAGATGTCCCACAACACATGTTATCATAGATTGTACTGAACTGTATACTGAACCCCCCAAGTCCCTTATCAACTGTATCTGATTTCAAGAGTCACATGATTTGGAAGGTTTTCATTAGAATTTGTCCATCTGAAGTTATAACTTATGTCAGCAATCTCTGGGATGGTAATATTTCTGACAAGCAAATTACAGAGAAAAGTGGACTTTTAGATGGAGTTGGCAAAAAAGAACTTTAAATTTACTGCCAGAGAGGTAGAGGGCACAAGAAGAATTGCAAATTTAAGAATACATGTTGAAAGGGTCATGAAGCAAATCAAGAACTTTAGAATCTTACAAGGTGTTATTCCTCTCAGTGAGAGCGAACAAGTTTCAAAGATTTTCTTTGTTTGTGCTGCACTGTGTAACCTTCAGCCACCACTTGTGAAACACTAAAGCTATGTCAATAGTGTCCACCTATTATGCATTAAATCTGTTTTATGTTGCTACATGATAGGTTTCAGAATTTGTAAACATTTAATTCAGCTTTCAACCAACTACAAAACAAATTACAGATTGAAAAAAGTTTAATGTTGCAGAATTCTTTAATAATCGTCATGTTATTCCCATGTCTTGTATTTATAATTTGATGACATACAATCAAATAATACTTATAAACTTCATTTTCAACAGGTTTCACAAAATAGTGACTGAGGGCTATCCAAACACTTATATTTAACCCTTTGATCACTATTATGTCAAACTGGTTGAAAACGAATCGACAGAAAATATCATCTTTTCTTAATGATAACTGTTATTATTACCACTTACCTGACCTGTAGATTAACATGATTTCACGAAATTTTTCAAGTTTATATAATTATCAACATGAGTCAATCTAGGCAAGATTGGGCTTCATGAAAACATGCTAAAAAACAACAAACTAACTTAACATGCTAAAGGGAGATAATCGAAACTTTCAAATTGATAGTAATTGATTATTCATTATATTATGGGATGACATGATTAACACTGAAAAGCATGCAACCATTAAGATTACTTGGGAAATGATCATCCACTCATCATGATTACATCACCATGATCATCCACTCATCATCACCATGATCATCCACTCATGCTACAAATGATCATGTGTAAAACTTCTTCATGTTGATTTCAATAGGACCCACCTATCATGTGGCAATTTGTTTAGAAGAGCTGAGAAGAAGCATTTGTTCGACCATCATAGGTTTTCAAAAAATACAAGAAGCAACATCTTTAGAATAGCTTCACCACAGGAGCTCTTTTAAATAGTGAGTGAGTGAGTTTAGTTTCACTCAGCAATATTACTATATATGGCGGTCTGTAAATAATCGAAGTCTGACCAGACAATCCAGTGATCAACAGCATGAGCATCGATTGCGCAATTGGAAACCGATGTCTGTCAACCAAGTCAGCCGAAACTGACCTCCGATGCTCTTTTAAATAAGTTGTCACATCATGTGCAAATAACTATAGTAGCACTCTTAAGTTTAACTTTAAGGGTTAATGTTTTCAATAATCTGAAGTTACCTGATTATCCATTGATTGGTCAGGCATTGCTTTGATGACTGAATAATTATCTGACTGCCTGAGAGTTGTAACATGTATAATCAGCCCTATGTAGTTATGAGCAATTTTTATGTGTATCTAAATATAATTAAAGGAATTATTTTAATTGAAGTATTTGTTATTAATATAAGCAGCTCTTACACGCTCAGCTTGTTTCCCGACGTTGGTAACTTGCCACTTCATGGGTAGTTCTGAAGTTCAAGCTTGGTAATGTGTGTTGTTTCACCCACCAACCATGCCAAAGCGTCATTGGCCACCATTTTCGGTGAGGCGAAATGCTATTTTCGGTGAGGCGAAATGCTCCAGAAGTTGGAGCGTTTCAAGGGGGATAACTTTGGGGCAGATAACTGTGTCTTACTGAAACAGGCTATAGTCAGTATGGAAAATACCAATGGTGGGATGTATAATTATCCTCTCCATAGCCTCACAATGAATTGTATTCAGCAGATTAATATCCATACTTTTACTAATGTTACATATCTAAGGGCTATGAGTATTCCATCATCCTGTCAAAACAAAAATGCAAATAGATGAATTGCAAAGCGCTGTACAGGTGATATACATCATTGTGTAAAATTGATTAAATGAAATGAATTTTTTTCGAATATTATTTCCCCAATATTTAGCCTCAATATTGTCATAAGCACACCCATAGTTTGAAAACACTTCAGTGAAATAATTCAAATATGTCTTCATATGAAAAATTAGATCTATCAAAATTAATGCCTTTCAATATAAATCTCACTCAGATATCATCAAGGGTGACACATCCTATCATTAAACACGTGGAGCGTATTTAAATCCAGCAAACGAACACTTCATTGGGAGACAAGTTTTAAAAATATGTTTTTCAACGATATACATGTATGCTTGTCTTTGTAATGAAATGTCGGGTCATATCGCCATGATCGGGAAAAAATTAATACATACACAATTTATGATTATGCTTCCTATGGATATGGAAAGACGTTATGTTATGAAATTCATGGCCATTCAGTTCTGTGTATCATGTGTACGAGTGTGTGACAACAGTGAACAGACATGTGACACATATGACACTGTTGAATTGCTGGTACATGTACATGTGCATTACACGACCACCTTCCTACCATATTGTATAATGTCCCTAATTCTTAACCCCTCAGGTAAGAATGCACCATACCAGACACCATTTATTCGCAGCTTCGGTCAATTTATTATAGTTTTTTAGGATCATTTTGAGGGGTTTGGGGTAATGATGATAGGTAGGTGTCAGGTGCAATGCATGTGAACCCTCTCAAAATAAGCCTATAAAAATAACATAAATTTACTGAAGCTGCGAATAATAGAATACGGTGAAAAGGGTCGTGTAAGGCTGTGTAATGCATTCTTACTGAAGTGCTGCAGCTTTCCGTCACTGAATTTAACAAACAGCTTTGTTGTCATGGAGTATAACAGCCTGTGATTGTGTCTATAATTCTGTTCTTCATTCTTTTATATAACCTTGCGTAATCAATATTCGCACACCTAACACATTTCGGTGCGGTATGCAGAGTTAACAAGGCACGTGAAAATCAACAATTATACAAACCTTTATCAATATAAAATGTTTATAAAAGCCTTGGACACTATCATAGCGGGACGAAGCCATCATGCCCACAACAGTATCAAGGTCAGTTGTGCGCTAAGTCATCAATATTCGTGATAGCTAATATCGAGACAGCATGGCGAATAGTTTACGCCAAAAGCTGATAACGATGAAACATTGAAGTTCATGTCTCGCAATGCTGATAAGAAAGTTTTTGTTAAGAAATGTTCAGAATTTGTCTACTTTTGTCTATCTTAATGAACAAAACGCTAAAGTTCCTGTAATCTTGAATGAAAGTTACAAAAAAAAAACATTCTTCATCACTTTGGAGACATTTACTGAACAAACACAAGCATAGTTTCGTAATTCATTAATTATAACTATTTTATTTCATCTTATAAAGTCGTCATAATTGCTTTTACTAGGTAACTGTTCATGAAAAGTTGTCAAGTTGTAAAGATTGTTTCTGAAATGGGCTTCCATAGTTATTTTTCCTGGGCTACACCCCACCTACTGGGGTCATGACCTTTAAGGGTTGCCACTTACGAATGCAGACGACCGGTACATTGGTGCTGTCATGAAAGAAAACTATTTTTTATGGCTCATATTTCTCTCGATTTTTTGCATTAGTGCAGAAGCATAAACATACATTTGCTAGAAAACTTTGGAAAAAACCCTTTCATTTGAAGCTTGTGATTTCCAAATTGTGACAGCAGGAATACGAACACGACTTCATGCTTACAAACACAAACCCTGACATTGTGACGTTACTGATAAACAATTAATTCTCCCCTAAATGTCAATAACGAAGGCTCCCGTCATGGAACGCTACTCGGGATGTAACGGCTCGAAGAATAAAGATCCATGCTCAAGTATCTCGTTCTTATTCAACAAAGACACAACGAAACAGACATCATGACTTTATGTGTAGCGACCGCGTGAACCCGGAAATGATAGGTGCGCGAAAATAGATGTCCGCGAATTTACATTACACCGGGATATAATAGTAAATATACGGTTGATACAAAATCGTCGTCAGGAGGAAGCATTGGCTTGATCAGAGAAGCGCATCCGACCTGAACACCGAGCATGCTCGACAGTGGAGACAGCTTCTGTTCTCCCTGCATATAGATATCGACGATCACCAACAAACTAGACAAACTCCAAGTGTAGATGGTACTGAATGCTCTACCATTGTAGGCATTCCATTTGTAATCTAATGCATTTACTTACGTTCAAGTGTCACCACTATGTACGACCTCTCGCCTTCAGGATGATGAAGCTATAATATGACGAGCAGATTTTCCGTTGTGAGTGCGTCTGTAGCCAGTTTAGGAAAGACTGGATTCCCGCCACTCTCCTCAACGACCTGGTCCCCTGGCGGCTAAATCATCGCAGCAAAGGCTGTGTAGCGCCCGCGCTGAATACTCAGAAAACCAGGCTGACACCTCAACAGAGGCCGGGGCCAGTCCGTTTTCACTCGGACCAGAGACCATATGGTCTCTGCTGGGACCCAGCACTTTGCCACAACATAGAGTTTAGAGAAAAGTTATCACCAAATCAATACTATGATGTTAACTACGCACAATATAGAGTTGAAATGTTAACATAGATATTATTATATATTAGTATTATTATTGTGAATTTAACCTTTACTTATCACGTGTCTAAATATCGGGTCAATGCTTAGGACACCTTTTTGAACACTTTTACTAGACCTTCCGATGCTAACTCTTAATTTTGAGGTTGAATAACGAATTTTTAACAACACCCATTTGATGGTTATATGGTTAATATTTTGTTTTGCGGAGTTTACCTTTGTCGATTGCATATTATTATTTCAAGCTTTCAATCACTTGCTGATCAAATGTAGGCCGGTTCAAATTGGAGACATCCAATACACTAACTGGAACCTTATCAGCCAACGAACCTCAGGTGTCAAGTCTTATTTACGAAGCGTTACGTCGCACCTTTTGTATAAAATCAGTTCATCACAGCGCCGGGGTTTGTTTATCTTGTTATTAGCAAATCATCATGATGATGAAATTCATAAATGGGCTCCACACCTTGTACCCGTGTGAGGAATCGAACCCGGATCTTCAGCATGACGAGCGAATACTTAAAGCTACGCCACCACCCGGGAACGATTGTTGAAACTATCTAACCATTATGTTTTTTTATTTGAACGTAATAAATGCGAATCACACGACTAAACATACACTAACGTTAGTATAACTTTGTTTTAATACCAGTTACGGATCTCTGCACGTAATTGTGTGACAAAATTATTTACTTTGAAACGTTGATGTTTTATTATGTATTATAATAAATCTCTTTTGGTGTCCGAAAACACAATCCGTGAAGATCGGTGTTAGAAGCAGGCCTTCAGCAACACATGCTTGTCGTAACAAGCGATAACGGGATCAGATGGTCAGGCTCGCTGACTTGGTTGATGCACGTCATCGTATCCCAATTGCGTAGATCGAAGCTAGCGATGTTAATGACTGACTTGTCTGGTCCAGGCTCAATTATTTACAGACTGTCATAATATTACTGGGAAACTGAGTGCGGCGTTAAAAAAACAGAAAACCAAGCAACCTAGCTTGGACTGACTGACTGACTGAGTTTGGTTTTACGCCGCTTTTAGCAATATTCCAGCTACATCACGGCGGGGAACACCAGAAATGGGCTTCACACATTGTACCCATGTGGGGATTCGAACCCTGGTCTTCGGCGTGACGAGCCAACGCTTTAACCACTAGGCTACCCCACCGCCCCTCCTTAGCTTGGAGTAGGTTGTCAAACATATTCATCGCTACAACATAACTCTATAGACACTGAACAATAACCTGATAAACATACGCACGAAGTTGAAAATAACAACATCTCAAGCGCAAGAACATAAAACAAAAATCATAAACCATAGAATGGTAGTGCAAAAGAATACCCAGTCTAATTAATCCTCAGAAGAAATTACGGTTGATGTAAGGCAAAATACAGCCGCGAAAATGATATGAGTGTATCACTGAAAATCAGTGACGACACCAGGTGTCAGATCCAACGTACGTGACAACTGCTATTAAGCCCGACAGGTAAATATGTCAGATTAAAAGAGAAGAATGAGTTGAGGATAAATTGTAACTTTAGAATTCATTTCCTCCCAAGATATATGTTTAGATAGTTAAACTGTCATGTGTATGTATCTGTATATACAGAGGACGGACACAGCTATCTCTCATTGAGTCTTAGGATAGCGTAAGTGATATACACTGAGGGGTACAATTACGGAACACGTTTCAGAGTATTTTCTTATTGATGAAGACGTAAGTATATCCTCCAGCTGATGAAGGAGTAAGTATATTCACCACCTGATGAAGGAGTGAGTATATTCACCACCTGATGAAGGAGTGAGTATATTCACCACCTGATGAAGGAGTGAGTATATTCTTAATATGATGAAGGAGTAAAAATATTCCCCTAAACGTCTTGCTCCACATATTACAGACACTGGCCGCCGACTTGTTCAGGGATCGTGGGTTTTGGACAGTGTGTCATTCTACAGCTTGGATTGTAATGCAAATAGGCATCCGATGTCAGGTTGTATGTGTCGTCAGTAGAAATATGAGTTACTACCATTTGTGCGAGATATCCAGAAAGCAAAGATACCTTTCAATACTATATGTATTATATTGTGGGATATTTGCAGTATCACAGTCTGAAACGTGGACAGTTTTCATGCCAACATTTGTGTTGGAATACCATGGTTCTTCCGGTGGTATACTGTATATATATATATATATATATACTTTGCCTTACCGGTGGTATACTGTATGAATATATATATATATACTTTGCCTTACCGGTGGTATACTGTATGAATATATATATATATATATACTTTGCCTTACCGGTGGTATACTGTATGAACATATATATATATATATATACTTTGCCTTACCGGTGGTATACTGTATGAATATATATATATATACTTTGCTTTTACCGGTGGTATACTGTATGAAATATATATATATATATATACTTTGCTCTACCTTACCGGTGGTATACTGTATGAATATATATATATATATATATATATATATATATATATATATAAGAAGAAGTTTCTGAAATAATTACACAACACGGATCTTCTCCAACATGTTTCACTTTTATCTTCAGGGAGAAGTGATTACAGTTAAACGGATTATGTTATGACGTCAATTTGTCATGACGTCACAATGCAACTGTATACAAATGTTGTGACGCGGCGTTGCCATGACGTCACATTGGCGGCTTTATATTGACAGTACTAGTAGCACAATGAAAACAAGTATAATTCAGACACATTGCGTTACCTATTTAACGATGGACACAATTCTTTGATGAAAAAGTTTTCTTTAGCTTTACGCTGTGTATATTCAAAACCAAAGCCAAAAATATATACTTTGCCTTACCGGTGGTATACTGTATAGATATATATATATATATATACTTGGGTACTTATCTTCACAATATATATATCTATACAGTATACCACCGGAAGAACCATGGTATTCCAACACATACGCCAAAGCCGTAACTTAAAACACATATTGACAAGTGCCACATTCGACTCATGTATTAAACCTACAGAATTCAGTGTCTCAAAATGTAAACGGGGAAATTGTGGAACTTGTGAATATATACTTGAAACTTCATGTATAAAGTTCAAAAACAGGAAACAATTATTTCATGTACGCTCTAACATGGACTGCTCCGCAAAACATATTATTTATGTTATTATATGCCAAGGGTGTCATGAAGAATACATTGGACAAACGGAGTGCTTGAGGGACAGAATGCGCGTCCATAAACAACAGATTAAGGACCCCAAAACAAGGTGCATCCCCTTAAGCGCTCACATTGACAATTGCGCAGCAGGAAAGGAAATAAAATTTAAAATATTCCCTTTCTATAAAATGAATACTGCTGACGCCATGCAGCGTAAAGCTAAAGAAAACTTTTTCATCAAAGAATTGTGTCCATCGTTAAATAGGTAACGCAATGTGTCTGAATTATACTTGTTTTCATTGTGCTACTAGTACTGTCAATATAAAGCCGCCAATGTGACGTCATGGCAACGCCGCGTCACAACATTTGTATACAGTTGCATTGTGACGTCATGACAAATTGACGTCATAACATAATCCGTTTAACTGTAATCACTTCTCCCTGAAGATAAAAGTGAAACATGTTGGAGAAGATCCGTGTTGTGTAATTATTTCAGAAACTTCTTCTTATATATGTACTACTGTACGCTCGGTATTCTCATCACTTTCTTTATATATATATATATATATATACTTTGCCTTATATATATATATCAAGGAACTTGTTCAAGGAACTAGTTCCTATATATATATATGTATTGTCCTATTCTACAGTAAATGCAAGTGAGCGGAGTTACAGTGGAAGAAATCAAAGGGTAGCTGAGTTATGTCTCTTTTCTTTGAGAGTGAAAAGTATCAGTAAACACTACATTTATTGAATGTTTACCCTAATAATTACAAAGAGTTGTATAACTCTCATACACTCTCAAACCATAATTGTTGCTATAGATTTGGTTACAGTGACCTTAACCTTGACATCTATAACGGACATACATCTGACCGGCCAGTCTACTCCTGTTGATATCACACCGAAAACCTTCCACACTATTTCTTCACGTATGTGAGGTATACACTGATAGGAGGTAACTTTGATGTTTACTCCCATGACTGAAAACCATTATGAATGGACACGGATATTTGACTACTTCTCGAAGGATGCACATTCTGGAGTCACTCCACTATTTCTACCACAAAGTCACAACGTTTAGTCAATGACAAAATAATTGGTAAAAGAAAAAATATTACCACTTTACCTGCACATCATCCTCAAGTCCATTAACTCCTCATGCGCAATATAACACATCAAACTGTACTGTAGCCAAATTACATGTGTGTGTTTTCACCTGATAGATGTAGAAATATGCGTCATCTGTATCGGTTGTCAACATACTTCTGTGTTTCATTATCCGCCTCTGACTCGATCGGTTTTTAAATTACATTTAACGGTCTTAAGTCAACGATAAAGGACCGCAATATTGAAACAGAATGGATATATATTCTAATCAAACAGAACTCAGTCACCCTCAGTCTTCTATCATAAACCCATTCACTGCTGTTTGAATATGGGAACATCTTTTTATTTGATATCTGTAGAAACCTCAGAGAAGCCACACAATACCATTTTATCAAACATTTAAGAAAGGTCTTACCATATTTAGCATGTGTATAATATTTGC